TGTGGAGTTGGGGGGTTTGAGGGGGGGAAGTGGGAGGAGCAGGGGCGGGGCTAGGGCAGGGCTCCTCCTGTCCTCTTTTTTGCTTGCTGAAATATGGTAACCCTATATTAAGTCACTGGGTACATTATCTTGATGTCAGTGATAGGCCAGTAGATGCATTTCTAGATGTTCAGGTTATAGAAGAAACATTGGTTGCATCTGTGATAACCCACATTTTAGAAGAGTTAAATGCTTGTAAATTGAACCCCAGACAGATGGCTGCTTGTGCATTTGATAGAGTTGCAAACTACTCTGGAAGACATAGTGGAGTAAAAGCTTTGCTCAGAGAAAAGTGTAACCCTAATCTCTCCTATACACACTGCAGAGGCCATCTACTCCAACTAGCACTAGTATGAGCTGCAGAATCTTCAAAAGACATTAAAAAAACATTTAAATTTCCTCATATACTCTTTTTATCAGCAAGAGTCCAAAAGGACTGAACGTCTTGGAAAAAATAGAAGATACACTGAGACTGAAGTTCAAATGAGTCCAACCTAAGAACACCTGCTGGCTTTCTCATAAGCGATCCTTGGCTGTTGTCTTAAAATTACTGCAACCATTATTATTGGCTTTAGAAAGTATCTACCGAGATGGGATGGATCTAAGTAGTGAGGCTGGAGGACTACTTTTACTACTACATTCAGGGTATGTGTACACTTACTGTGGATCGACGCTGTGGTGATCGATCCATCGGGGGTCGATTTAGTGGGTCTAGTGAAGATTGTTCTCCCCTCGACTCTGGTACTCCATTGGAATGAGGAACATAAGGTAAGTCGACAGGAGAGATTCTCTTGTCGACCCAGTGTGGTGTAGACACCGCAATAAGTCGACCTAAGCTGCATCGACTCCAGCTACATAGCTGGAGCTGCATAAGTTAGGTCGATTAAATGCCGGAGTGTAGACCTGCCCTTAGAAAGGACAATTGTCATTCTCTCTCTTGAAAGTCTACTGTTGAAAACACTGGGGTCATTAAACAATGCCATCCAGGCATCTGCTACAACAGTAGTAGATCTTTGTCCAGTAATAGAAGCTACACTTGGATCAATCAGAGAGAGAGAGAGCTATTGAAAACATACTGGAAGAAACGAAGACTTCAGGTCAGAAATTGACTAATTAAAGCACTTCTATTGACTCCTTAAGTGAAGAGGACAAGAAACATTTGTTAAGCCATCTGAAAAAGTACACAGACTTGATTCTTATAAATCTACAACAGCAACCTTTGGATTCCACTGAACCTTTACAGAGCTTTTGCAGATACCTGTCTTATAAAACACCAACAGTTTCATGGAGTGAGGGACTACCAGCAATGGGGCTGCTATATGATTAGGACAGAATAGAGAATTTGAACACAGAGTGGAATATCATACAACAAATGAATGAAGATTTGACTTCATCTTTTTCTTTATCATCACTAGTGGTTCAGCCCAAACTTTGTATTATGTTTCCTACAATGAAAGAAGTAGGAATTTATCTCTTGCTACTCCCAGTCCCAACAGCTACAGTTCAGCATTCTTTTTCCTCATTGAATATAATGTTATGTTCTTAAAGGAGTCACCTTTTGCCTGATCATGAGCATATCATGAAGGACTGGAAGTACTGGACACATAAGAAGCCACCTACACTGAATGCACTGCATTTGATAAGTTTATTAATAGAGTTGTGCAAAAGTACAAGAAACCAAGAAAGATGCAGCGCTAGTGCTTCATAGGAGGCTTGGCTTTGTGTGATGATTTTAAAACGTGTTAAACTTAATAAAATGGTCATGAAATATTTTTCAGTTTTTACTATGGTGCCATACAGCGCACCTTTGCCCTCATGATCTGACCCTTCATCAGCTGCCTGCCACCCCTCCTGTAGATTTAAACACCCCCACCTAATTTCAACTCCTGGGGGAAACTGCCACTAACCAGACTCCTCCACCCCTGGGCCTCTGCCCACCTTATGACGGGACACCCTCTTGTTACGCCCCGCCGGCAGCTACTCCCAAGTAACTCAGGCACGGGGAGACGTGGGTACGGACCCGGCTCTGCTGCATGGTCTCCGGGCCGAGGCAGGCGGCGGTGGCAGCGGCTGCTCCCTGGCTCAGAAGTGCTGTTCCTGCCTCCACGCCGCACGGGGGCGCCCCAGGCGGGGCGGGCTTTGCCGGGGACGCCGCTCTCTCAGGCAGCGCTGCTCGTTGTCACTCCCTGGCAGCGGGCGGGCGGCTCCAGCCGCAAGGGCTGCCGGTCCAGAGGCGGCGCGGGGGCGGCCCGGACCTAAGATGGCGGCGGCGTTGGCGGGGAGGAGGCGGCGTTGGTGGCCGCGGACGTGCGGGCTGTCGCGGGGTGCGGGCGGGACGCGGCTCTGGCCGGGCTCGCAGGGCGGATAGAGCGGGGCCAGCGCGGCGGAGCGGGGCCGCTATGGGCTCCCAGGCGCTGCAGATCCTGCGCCAGGGCGTGTGGGCGGCGCTAAGCGGTGGTTGGTACCAGGACCCGCACCAGGGCGTCGGGGTCAACGCGCTGCACCTGTATCTGTGGCTCTTCCTGCTGGGCTTCCCCTTCACTCTCTACATGGTGAGTGCGGCCCCACCCCTCCGTGCTCGCGTGCGGGGCAGTGGCTGCGTGTGCGTGGGGCGCTTCCCCCTCCCCCCCCCGGGGGCCGGGGTCTGCTGCCCCCGAGCTCTTCGGCCTGCTCCTGCTCCACCTGGACTGAATCCAAGCCGAAGCCTTGTGAATACCCCAGCCGGGGGGCTGGGAGTGTACGGCCCCGTCCCTGCCAGCTCCTGCGGGGCCCTTCCTGCTTAATTTCAGTTATGGTTAAAAGTCCCGGGGGGAAGACGAGAGAGACCGCTTGGATTTACTTTAAACTTCCTGCTCTTTCTGTGGTACCCAGAGCCAGCGAGGTGCTCTCCTGTGCCAGCTTAGGTAATAAGGGGCTGTTTCCTATAGCTACCATAGAAATGTCAAAGATGAGATAGAGTTCTTAGGTTTGTAATGCACATCTGAATTGGTTTAAACTGATGGTTTCTGTTATAATGGCCGAGAATAAAAGTTTCATATATTATAAATTCCGACAGTTATAGAGCAGCAGACTGGGACTAAGGAAGCCTGGCTTCTGTTCCTGGCGTAGCTTCTGGCCTACTGTGGGAGACCTTGGGCAATCACTTTACCTCCCTGTGTCCTAGTGTTCCCCATCTGTAAAATGGGAATAACATGGCTTATTTCCTTGTTAAAGTACTTTGATTAAAAGTGCTATATAAGACCTAGGTGGTGGTGGTATTATTATTATTTTATTTTCACATAAACGTTTTCTTTGTCCTCAAGAACCTTTGGATGAGACCTTGACCATGGTTTTGTGTGGTCTAATTGCAAAGATTCTGTGGCTCATCTCTTAAAATTAGAGGATATGCTTCAAAGATCATAGTCTAAAGGTCCATTCATATATTGTGTGCACTGTGTGCTGTGTGCTCTACTGTGTTGTAATAGTAAGGGAAGGCATTCTTATGCCTTGCAGCTTGTAAGGTACTTTGGGATCCTTGGGGGGAAATAGGTGCTGTAGGAATATAATCTGCTATTAAAGGTACCTTTCTATTTAGCATCTTGTTTTGGTTTTATTTTTTTTAAAAGACTGACTTACAAATCTAAAAGCTCCTCTTAATTTTTGATGACCCTTTGTTTGTTCCCCCTTGCCCTCCATCCAAAAAAACCTTTCTAAATGTTAATATGTTGTGTTTTGGGTTGTGGGAAGGAGGGCAGGCAGGCTGTGTGTAACTTCCCATTGTACACTACTCACCACTTTATCTTTTAGCATCAAATTCTGACTTGTATGTCATCTGCGAAACACATTAATATTTCAGCTCATGGATTTCTCAGCAGTTGTACAGTGTGATCACTTAGGTGTGACGTGATTGGTCTCTGGCACAGTCAGATGTAATCTGCAAGTGTGGGAAATCAAAATGCTTTGACAACTTAAAGCAGAAGCTGACTTGTGAAAAATGTATGTGGATTAGTGAATGAGTCCCCAGGGTAAAACCCTGTGTGAGTTTGTAACGGCAGGTGAACTAGAGGTCATAGGTCAGGCTGCTAGATTCATTAGCAAACACTACAGTTGGTGGAGGAGGAAGGTAGACTCAATATCAGTAATTAGAAGATATTAAGAAATTACCTAGGTGGAGGAATCATGTAAGACTACAGCCCTTTGAGATTACCTCTCCTGTTGAATTTCGGTGTTCTTTGGAAAATGAAAATGGCATTGCACATTATTGAAACATAATACATTCCTGGCAAGGAAACAGGAGGCTGTTAATTAACAGCTGCCTCTCTTTTTAAAACAAAAACAAAAACTACAGTGTGTAATAGATGAGCAGTCTAATCCAGTTTACAACTAAATGGATGCTGTATTGGGAATCTGTTTCCATGTAAAGGCAGGAAGAGCCTTTCGGAGTCTTCTGTTGAGGTGCAGCTTGTTGGAGTTTGTTCTGTCCTGCATTTTTATGGTAATTTCCTATATCTAGTCATGCTTGACAAAATAGCTTATTTAATTAGTAGCACCCCTAGGGCTTGCCATAAACATTGTAACAAACAGCAAGATGTCAATTCAGGAAACTCCTTTGGAAAGGATCTTCTCTGTCCTTTTCTGATAACTGATGCAATTGGAGTAAACACTTGAATCTCGTGCAGCTTTTGCAGCAGGAGTTGGTGCTTTAGGGGTCTTTGCCTTGAGTGAAACTTTAAGCACTATTGCTGCCCATCTATGTGCTTTGATACAAAAGAAAGAAAAAGCAGGCAAAAAACAAACAAACAAACAAGCTGTTTCTTTTTGAGGTAATTAGAAAAAAATTCTCCATTGCCCTGGGCAAGAAAAAGATGCAACAACAAATGCCAAATGCTGCGAGAATAAGTAGGAAGATTAGTCACAAGTTAGAGCAGATTGAATCATATTTGGCTGTTTTCCCTTTTCCACCCTTTGCCGTTTTTAAGTGTTGTCTAGACAGAAACTAAACAGACAGAATGACTATGGTCATCTTATTCCTGAATGTCTCCTTTATTTATTTATTTATTTTAACATTTACTGTTGATAATTCTGAAACTGTATCTTTGCAGGATTTGCATAGTTAAGCAACATTTGTTAAACATCCCTGGAGGAAGCCAGGTTTTTTTTTTGTTTTTTTGGAGTGTGGCTTATAACTATGTGTAGGAGAGGATTTCTAAACTAGCTTCAAAGTTTTTACTGACAAATAGCCTATGTTATTTATAAAACAGATGTCAAGTGCTGGGAGATCTTATTACATTTAACTTTGTAAAACTTCATGTGTTTTCCCACAGTAGGAAATTCTAGGGACAAATTCCCACTTGTTTTGCTGCGTTAGGTTAGCAACGGTTCGGACATATTTCTAAAATACCCTGTGGTAGGAAGGCCACAAAGTCCCTCCAGTACTTTGCTTGTAGCAAGCTCTCTGAGGGTAAAGGTGACTTAAGTTTTTAAAATCAAGTTACATTCAGTTGTAACTCAGTTTTTAGGCAAGAAATACTTTATCTGAGCGGATGCGCCTTGTCCTTCAAACTAGTAAGTTCAAATATATCTCCATTGTCTAAAGATGTAGTTTGTTGTACCAAAAGTCTGTGTGAGTGTTTCAGTTTCTTTAGCATCAGCTGTTAAAATATTCTGTTCCCAGAGATGTAGAGATACTCAGTGATCAGAACACATACAGAAGAAAACAAAACCATGTTAATTTCAACTGTTAGATTCCTGCGCCTCAATCCAAGTATATAGGCCCATTGGCCCATGCTCCCTCCTGGAGACACCACATGAGGCAGGAACCTCCAGCTACTGTAGGAGAGAGGCTGGTAGGGGGCAAAGAGGGCTGGGCTGGGCTCCCTAGCAGTCCACCTTCACCCTCTTCCCCCAGGGGCACCACAGAGACAGGAGCTCTTCAGACTCCCTGAGAGGTGGAGACAATGGAGCTGTGCCACTGCAGCATTTTAAATGTATACAAGCCCTGAGGCACAGGAAGGAGAAGTGACTTGTCACCGCATCATCTAGCAGGACATGCCAGAGCCAGGAGTAGAACCCATGTCTTTTGAAATGAATATTATATAAATGCTAACTGTTATTCCAGTAAATGTAGTATTCAAATCACTGCCCACATTATTTTAAACGCACCACTCCCCTATCCAAAACAAACAAACAAAAAAGCACTCAGAAATGAAATAGGGTGAAATCTTGGCTTCCCTGAAGTGAATGGGAGTCTTGCCACTTACTTCATTGGAGCCATTATTGCTAAGCGTGGGACATGTTTATGGAATATGTCCGTATCTATAATGGCAAGATCTCTTTAGATAACTGGAATTGATATAATAGCCAGTCATACATAGGTCACTTAAATGTAATTCAATGTAGAAGTGTGATATGGTAGGACCTTTTTAGACAAATAGGTATGGTTCCATGATTACAGCCAGGAAGCCTAGGCACTGGAATGTGTTTCAATGAGATGTTTACCCCGTGACTTTGTGCTTACTTTCTCTAAGTGGTACTTAATGTTTTGTTGTTGTTCCCAACTAGATTTGGTTTTTCAGAAAATCCCATTATTCCTACCCTTTATTGTAACTTAACAGTTGAGGTCATAAATGCATTATACAAAAAAGAACTAGATACATTCATGGAGGATAGGTCTATCAATGGCTATTAGCCAGGGTGACAGGGATGATGTCCCTAGCCTCTGTTTGCCAGAAGCTGGGAATGGGCGACGGGATGGATTACTTAATGATTACCTGTTCTGTTCATTCCTTCTGGGGCACCTGGCATTGGCCACTGTCAGAAGACAGGATATTGGGCTAGATGGACCTTTGATCTGACCCAGTTTGGCCGTTCTTATACTTAGAGGATGTATTCTCAGATTTTGAGAAATGCAAGTCAAAAACCTGGAATTATCTTGGGCTTAGGCCCAGGTTTTTTTTGTTCTTCAAGTATTATCTATTCTTTAAGCTTTAAATAAAACTGACAACTAGATGCAACATACAAAATGTGGGACCTTGCTTCTTGCAATGAATATTATTGCAGTGTCTTGTTCTACAGGTTTTCTAAAAGTATTGACTCCAATTTGGTCAAACTTTAACTCAAACTGTAGCACTCTGCATATTACTGCAGAGGAAATGTCATAAACTTCCTGTTAAATCTCCTAGGACACCCAAATGCTTCAAAGTCAGAAGTTCTTAAACAAATATTTTTTCAGTTTGGATTGCCTGAAGCCCCAATATTGGCTGTTCCTAATCAGGTAGAAAACTTTATGGAGAAATCTTTAGTTGAGCACCCCGAATTTGCATATTGTGTCTAGCCAGTATTAAAATATAAAACAAATTTTTGCTGACTTGAATTAATTCGTAAATTTAAAAAGCTCTTCTCCACCTTACATCTAATGAACAAACAGTTCTTGCATTTTGTCTATTGATCTTTTGACATATATCCTACCAACAATTAGTCCCTTTAAGAGGCAAGTCAGTTTCTAGTACCTGCTTATGATTTTTATCTGTACCACATACTAGAGCTACACAAATATTGTAGAATAAGAGATGTGCAACAAACTCATGAACAGGATTTCTCTGAGGTTTAAAATGAGATATTTATACAAAAGAGGCAGAGTGACAAAAGCTAATAAAACTAATCTAATCTCTCTGAAGTAGCACCTTTGTTTCAGTCACACAGGTGAAAGTGAGGGCTTGTCTACACTGGCAATTTACAGAGCTGCAACTTTCTCGCTCAGGGGTGTGAACATCTCTCCTCTCCCTCCCTCCTCCCTCCCCCCCCCCCCGGGGCAGCAAGTTTCAGTGCTAGAGCTGCGCCGCGACCACATAAGGCACGTTAAAGCGCTGCCGGTGTAGACTAGCCCTTAGTTGTGAAGTCATTGTTAGACTTCATCAAAATTTGTTCTCGTTATAGGACCATAATGAATTAAGCCAAACTGGCAGTCTTCTCAGGAAAGGCCCAGGATTATAATTAAAATTTTTACTAAAATTAATGTTTAAAATCAAATTTACACAAGTTAAGAGGGAAGGTACTGTACATCTGGGATCAGGCTTGGGTTATGAGGGATTACAAGTATCGGTTACAAGGTTCACGAGATATATACATAGCACATAACCAGCATAGACCCAGATTGGGGTGCGGGAGTTTTTAAAATGTCAATGGATAAGTGAGCTCGGGTACACTACCACTGAAATGTATTTAGAGTCCAAGTCAGTATTGGTGTAGCACATAAGTACATGGGTGGGGTGTGTTCCTTGGTTCATCAGAGAAGGAAGGAAGTGGGTTATTTCCAGGATCGGCGGTCTCGATTACTTGACCTGATACTGGCGGTGTCCTGTGATGTGATCTGTGTATATGTCTCTAGACCACCTGATGGTGTCAGACACCATGAGCTGGGCATAGCGTTGACCAACTCCGCATGCTCTCAGCACCGGCTCGTTGTGGGGGGTCCCACACACCCAGGGCTCCCATAACTAGGGCGTAGATCTGGACCTTGTAGTCCTGGGCTCTCAGGGTATTGGCCAGCGGGGTGTATTTCAGCACCTTCCGAGCTCGGTCCTCGTGGAAGGCCGGTGACCTGTTTTTGAATGGTACCGTGACGTCCACCATGAGGATCTTCTTCTTTTCTGTGTTGGTCACAACGCTATCGGGTTGCATTCAGCTGTCCGTTCTGGGGATAGTACATGTGCTTGTAGGTCAAGATGAAGTTGCAAAATTGTGAGTGTGGAGGAAGGCTCATGCAATGCCTGTTTCCATCAAGCATGGCTTTAACCAGTATAAGGCATTTTTATGAGCACTACTGTTCAAACTTTAAGAATTGCTATGCAATGTAATAGTTATGAGATAAAGGATATCTGTGATGATTGGATTCTATCAGACTGAAATAGACCATCTTAGTTATCACATTTGGTCATGAAACACAAACTTCTTGTCTTCACCTCATTTCAAATTTGACTTTCTTCATTGGCTAAATGTGTTTAATCCAGTGGTCTCTGTTACTGAGAAACCTTAAGTTAGTTGCCATACAAATGGCCATATGGGGGCAGAAAAATGGCCCATCTAGTTCAGCATCCTGTCTCTGACATTGGCCAGTAGCAGATGCTTCAGAGGGAATGAACAGAACAAGACAATTTCGAGTGATCCATCCTCTGCCATCCAATCCCACCTTCTGGCAGTTTGGAGTTTACGGACAGCTGGAGCATGGGGTTGCATCCCTGATCATCTTGGCTAATAGCAAATAGGTACATAAACTGATCTGTTTTTTTTTTTAACCCAGTTATACTTTTGACCTTCCCAACATGGCAATGGCAACAAATTTCACAGGCTGACTGTGTTGTGTGGAAAAAGTACTTCCTTCTTTTTTTTTTAAACTTGCTGCCTATTAATTTCACGGGTGACCCTTAGTTCTTGTTTTATGTGAAGGGATGTGTAATACTTGCTTACTCACTCAATCCACACAATTCATGATTTTGTAGACCTATTGTATTTTCCCCCCTCCCCCTATAGTTAGCGCCTTTCTAAGCTGACCAGTCCCAGTCTTTTTAATCTCTCCTCATGATTTTCATTGCCTTTCTGCGCACCTTTTCCAATTCGAGTATATCTTTTTGTGATGGGGCAATCAGAACTGCACCCAGTTTTCAAGGTGTGTGAGTAACATGGATTTTTATAATGGCATTACAATATTTTCTGTCTTATTATCTATCCCTTTCCTAATGGCTGCTAATATGAACCAATAACTTGTCCTCTAATTCAAAGTAGAGAATGAAATGTATTTCCCTATGGATCCTTCTTCTAAGATTTGTTTGACTGATCTTTACAGGCCTGCTTAACCAGAAGTATATTTAAGTCTGGCACAGGCACAATTATTTTTTTTCCCCCCAGGGCTTCAAGAATCTAACTCAAAAGTCAAGTGTATTGGCTTTGCAAATCTATTTTTACAAGTAGTCTTTTTCTAACAGAACAAAAGCACTGAATTCCATGGCGTGGGTTAATTGATCAATAGATTATGATAGTGACGTGTTAGTGATTATGATAGTAGCTTCGTTAAAGTAATTTCTGGATAAGTTTATTGAAAACACTTAAATTTTGATGTCTTGGCCTAAAACTAAGTTCTTTCTTTCTCTTGCCTCCACCATCCAAAAAAAAAAAACCCAAATAAACAAAAAACCCACCACTTTGGACCTCTACCTAAGCTACTCTGCTTCAGACAAGTTTAAAATATTTTGAGTTAGTGAATCAATTTCATGGTAAAATTTTCTTTTTGACCTGTTTTGTTTTGTTTGCAAACATTCAAAGCGAGTTTATCAACCACACCTCTAACTCCTGTCTTGCTCTAATTGGGACCTGTTGATGCTTGCAGTTAGTTTATGGTAATTTCCTATATCCAGTCATGCATCATCACTACCAACATGTATGTAAATAGGAAAAGCTTGTATCTGTTCCCTTGACTAATTACTTACTGGTAGGAAGTTCCTAACTCCTCTGCTGATTCCAGCACCTCTTACTTCTGTTGAAGTTCTACTGGGTCTGTTAAAGATTTAAAGAGCTTCAGCAAGAGCAACGAGGCAAGTTAGAAGTCGAAAACTTAGGGGTGGGGAAATACAAGTTACAGAATAACAAGCAAAAGTCTCTCTCCAGAGAGGTGAGGGTTGGAAGTGCTGCAGAAGCTGTGATGTATCTCCACTCTAGAGGTATTCCTCTCCTCTCTCTTGTCTCTTTTGAGCATGCTTTAAAAAGTGGTTATCAGGTTGTGCCAGGACTTCTACCAGCTCTTATGTTAGACACAGCCTTGAGAGATGGGGTTAAATCTAGAGGAACACCTTTGCTCCTTTAATTAGAGTCAGAGTTCCCTGAGACCTCCTATTGGTCTTTCAGCAAAACTGGCAAGATCAGCTCTCATTTTTCATCCTTAAGTTGGAATAAGTTGAAAAAAAGTCAGGCTCTTTTACACATCAAAATAAAGTGTGTGGGTGGTGGTGGTGGTGTGAAAAATCCTTTCCAGGTCACCTTTGTTGTGTTTCCACTTCCTTCTGGGCATGTGTAGCTGTTTCAGCACAAATGTTCCTTGAACCATGCAGTCTTGCAGGTTAATTTCGGGTGAGGCTTAGGTGTTAAGTCTGTATGATATAAACAAACTTCCTGCATAGGCAGGAAAACATGTTAAGCTGCCATGATACTGGTGTCTAGCATGTGGGAGTAGCTGTTCTGTACTGACTTGATTTGTCAACTTATCTAAACACGATCTTTTTCCTCCTCCCTCACCCCACCCCCAAAACTCTTTCCACACTTCACTTGGGGTCACTGCTTTTCATTGACTCTAAAATGAGACCTTGTTGCCCAGTCATCTGGACAGTGGATATGGGAGGGGTGGACAAACTTTTTGGCCTGAGGGCCATATCGGGGTTCCGAAACTATGGAGGGCCACGTAGGGAGGGCTGTGCCTCCCCAAACAGCCTGGCCCCGCCTCCTATCCGCCCCCTCCCACTTCATGCCCCCCTCAGAATCCCCAACCTATCCAACTCCCCCTGCTCCTAGTCCCCTGACCCCCCCACCCCTAACTGCCCCCCTGGGATCCCACTCCCTGTCCCCTGACTGCCCCAACCCCTATTCACACCCCTGCCCCTTGATAGGCCCACCAGGACTCCCGCGCCTATCCAACACCCTCGTTCCTCCCCCCGAACCTCTGTCCCCTGACTGCCCTCTGGGACCTCCTGCCCCTTATCCAACCCTCCCACCCCATTACCATGCTGCTCAGAGCACCAGGGCTGGCAGCCGCGCCACCCGGCCAGAGCCAGCCGCGCCGCCGTGCTGCCCGGCAGGAGCTCGCTGCCCAGAGTGCTGGCGGCACGGCGAGCTGAGGGGGACGGCAGACAGCAGGGGAGGGGCCGGGGCTAGCCTCCCTGGCTGGGAGCTCAAGGCCTGGGCAGGACAGTCCTGCAGGCCAGATGTGGCCCACGGGCCGTAGTTTGCCCACCTCTGGGTTATGGAGTCCCCACTCCAGGTCTGCTCTTGGCACCCTGTAAATTGATTCCCACCCGAGTCCCCTTTTCAGGTTTGAAAAAACTAGTTGAAACAAGTCTTACATGCTGGTATCCTATGTGTGTCTTTTTTATATCAGCTTTGGTGAATGATGAAAGTGTACATGGCACAAATAAAATTCTGTTACTACACTTAAACACTTTTATACATGTTTGGTGATCTAGTCTTTAACATCTCTTGAATCCACTTAATTTTTTTTAATTTTCCTTTTGAAAGGCCCTTCCTTCTTCAATGGTGATAGTAGCAGTCTACTGTCCAGTGATAGCAGCTCTCTTCATTGTTCTGAAAATGGTGAACTACCGTTTGCACAGGGCATTGGATGAGGGAGAAATTGTGGAGAGGAATGCCAATGAACATATGGACAGGGGTGCAAAAACTGAACAAGGAAATACTTCAACCAGGAGAACAGACAGCAATGGGCCCAGGTAAGAGAGCTTCATCTGCTTATGTGGTCAGAGTTGTTTCTGCACGCACTACTTACTTATAACAGTAGTCCTCATCAGGCTGATAACTGGTAAATCAAGGTAATGTGAAAAAACTGGGGATATTAGCTATATCTGTAACTTTGGATGTTTCAGGTAATCAAATGGCTTTTTAAAGTCAATCAGGAAAAGGGTGACCAGATGTCCCGATTTTATAGGGACAGTCCCGATTTTGGGGTCTTTTTCTTATATAGGATCCTATTACCCCCCACCCCCGTCCCGATTTTTCACATTTGCTGTCTGGTCACCCTAATCAGGAACACCAGTTGCCTGAAATGTAGCTTATTTCATGGCATTTTGTGAGTTTGAGGGTGGAGTTTAATATGTAACACCATACTTTCCACTTCCCATCTGGAAGATCCACAAGTCCTGTGCCTCTCATATGCATCTGAAGAAGTGGGCTGTAGCCCAAAGAAAGCTTATGCTCTAATAGATTTGTTAGTCTCTAAGGTGCCACAAGTACTCCTGTTCTTTGCCTCTCATAGTGGCCCTGTTCCCAACTCCATGCAGGGAAACCTCTTTTTTGGGGGGCGGGGTGGGGGGAGGGAGAGTATGTTTAGGTTTGCTCTTAACTGAAGTTCAAACTAGTGATGGTGGTGCATCTCTTTAGAGATGGCATCACATTGTAGCTTTCTTGCTTAATAATAGTTCCAAAAAGCACCTTCTTTCAAATGTAGGAAATCAGTTAAACACTCCTCTCTACCAGTGGATTCTAGATGGCTAAAAGTTTATCTAATCAAATGGGAATTTTGGTTAAGGTTCTGATTCTGCAAGTACCTTCTAATGATATACTGATAATGATGTAATGGTCAGGTTATGAATGACAATAATTGGTGTATATGTCTGTTACAACTTACAAACATTGGCTAGCTAACCTTCACAACCTTCTTTACAGTTGGTAGGTATTATCCCCCTTCTACAGATATTTGGGATGGGCACATGGGGAGGGGATCTACTTGGTCAAGTAGTAAGTGACTTGGCCTAGGCTAAAAATGGAGTCTGCATAAGAGCTGGAATTAAATATCTGGTATTCTTTGATTTAGTATGCCAAACCAGGCCCCTCTACCCATATGCCCTTTGTTTAAAGGGACAAAATACAATCCAAAAACCACTCTTAATACTTCTTCAAAAATTAACATGCTCTGACCTCCTTCTTTCTGAAGTTTGTAGCTGGTTTTTGCAGACTGGCACTGGCCTGCTGCATACTGTTTGCTGAAAGTGAGCACGTAGAAAGAAACCTGTCAATCTGGCCGTTTATTTGCTGACAACAGCAGTTTACATCCTGTTTCCATTCAGAAACTGGAACTTGGAGCAAAAAGGGTTTTAAAATTCTGACTGAACTTCTTTGTGTGTTTGTATCTGTAGCTAATTAACTGCAGGGTCTGTCTTTTATGGGGTGCAGATGGATCGTCAAATCCTTTTCTTGAACACCCCTTGTAAGTCTGAAACTTGTTTTTAAAAAAAATTTCTGCCAAAGCACTCTTTAGCACAAATCCGTATGAAACACTTGCTTTTTTGAAAAAGCTTATATTCTTTGGAGATAATTGGTCAAGGAAGTTGCACACATGACATTGTGTAGACTGTAGATAGAGTTACAAAGAGACAGTAGCAGATGGGTACTAACTAATAACACATTTTGCACCTAGTGTGTTCAGTTTCCAAGTCAGAAGGCCATTTTTTTAAAATGACAGATTGTCAATTCACTTTCATGGACCTAAACTGGTAACTTCCATATCAGAAAATTGCTGACTTCAATAAAATTGTATTTTGGTTTTTCGTTGGAAGTGGCTTTACTGTAATGTTCAGTCAGGCTACTAAGCTTTCAAGATCTTATTTACACTGTATTTATGCTTTAATTTATTGTTACAGTCACTATCTGAACTCTGTTTCTAGCCAATTTAAATAACATCGTGGTAGTTGGCATTGAAATAACTGCTAATTTTTCCTAACATTTTCAAATTACTAACTCCTATTTCATGACTGTCTCACTCCTTAATCTTGAACTTCTAGTCTCATTGTTACTTGTTGTGGACATAGCTTTTGCATTAAGTTTTCTTCCCATCTATGTATGATAACTTTGTCTGCTTCTGTGACTCTTGTTCTGAAATTGGCAACTTCTCTCTCACTCAGAATTCACTTGCGGAAGTAAACAGATAAATCAGAAATGGAAAAATTCCAGTGTTTCATAGGGAACAAGTGAACATATAATTCACCCAAGATTATAATTGGTTGTAAATTGAAGGTCTGAGTTTTGAGGAGTTGCAAAATCCTTTTTAGATGCCATGATTTGAGTTTTGAAATCCATACTTCTTCCTGTGCCTGCAAAACTAATGTTTATATATTCCTAGCTTCAGTAATGCTTTGTCAGTCTTTTATATTCTGCTAGGAATGACTGCTGTACAACTCTAGGTTTACTTGTATGGGGGAGCCTTAGTGGGGTGAACTATTCCTCATGCTAGCTTTTTTTAGATCATTTAAAAGAAAACTGTGCCAATTTTGCTCAACCCAGCCATCTGAAAATTCACACTGAGAAGTAATGTGCATGCTAATATTTTAAATGCATGCAACATTTCTGAGTATGCTACTCAGTGGGGGCAAAATAGGAATATTTTTGCAAGGCATTATTATACTAGCACAGTTGCGGCTGTAAGGTATACTGTAATTAAACTGAAATGCTCATTTTAACTTCATTTATTTTAAAACCATTTAAGGAATATCCACCATTTTAGCTAGTTAGTGAGCCAGAATTCAGTGTTTGCTTTCAACCACTGTTGATGTTAGCAGGAATGCTTCAGCTTAAGGAATAATTAGTTACTTGTTGCTATATACTTTACACTGTTGAGCCATGCCAAAATGGGGTCCCATTTTCAAGTATTTCCTAATTGGTTGGAGATGAAGCATATTTATCCCATTCATAAACTTTTGTTGCAGAAGGCTCTAGCTTTGAGTCTATGTAGGCTGGCTGAAAATCTGTTAATTTTAGTTTAAACAAGATTCAGTTTATCGTGCTCGAAATCCTCTGGCCCTAATTCTTAGCAGCTGCTGAGTTTTGCCATCTTGGGAGGTAAGGGAAGGCACAGATTCAGGAGGTGGCTGGGGATCATTCTAGTTCCCAGCATAAATTAGAATGTCTTCAGTGACTGCTTTGCATTGTCTCCAAGAGCCATTGCACAAGTCCAAAATAGCCAGATTGCTGTGTGACCAAACCCTCCTAGCACAGCATATGGTAAGTGAAGTAGAAAATGTACTTTGGTATCTATTTGTTCACATACCTTGAAGTTTTAAAAAACAAACAAACCCAAACAGCCTGTATTAAATCAAGACTTGAAACATTGTGCCTTTTGAATTACTAGCAAATATGAGTAAAGGTAATGGGAATAGTGGTTTTAAAACATTGTATTGTCTTCGTACTTTTTATTTAGTGACCCTGGTGGAGGGATTGAGATGTCTGAGTTCATACGAGAAGCCACTCCCCCAGTTGGCTGCAGTTCACGCAATTCTTATGCTGCTCTAGACCCAAACAACCAGGTAGGAATTAAAGCTAATCCAACTACTGCTATCTAATCATTACTGTAGTCTTTGTTGCTGTTCCCAGTAAGCTTGCGGTCCCCCGTTTTTCCATCAAAAGAAAAGCTTAAACAGTCTGCTCTGTCACCCTGTTCTTTTTTAGTTTCTTTATAAAACACTTCTTCAGTGCCCTAGGACCAATAGTTGAAATGTCTTTTCTTTCCTACTACTCCATTAGCTCTACAGCTTAATTTCTTTGGGAACTTCTTACCTAGCACTTCCATATTAAATTCACCTTTTTAATTACCCAAATGGCAAATTTCATTTAAGTTGCTAAGAAGATTGAATGGAAGTTTCTTCCTAGGAAGTTTATTTTCCATTACTACCTTGTGTGGCTTTTTCTTATTGTGCTAACTGGCTTTTTTGAGAGACATTACTCTTGACATATCAGGGGCAGTAGTCATAAATGTTGGCTAAAGGGAACAGAGCAAGATAAGCTGATGGGAATGGAGAGACGCTAAATCTTTCTCATTTCCAGAAGAACTGTGCTAGTGTCCCAGTTACTTTGATCCTCTGATATGTTTTTTGGAGATTTGAGGGGAAGCAGGGTGGGGAGGGGTTATAATTACGGGCCACTGTAGCCAAAATGGCAAGGTTGTGTGAATTTTTCAGATTTCAGTTTTAATGTAATTGTATTATGTACTACTTGTTTCTATAGCATTACGTGGGTACTCGAAAATGAAGTATGTTCACAGCAAAGAAACATTTCCTTCACTAAACATGTATACTCACTTTTTATAAGGTTGGTCATACTGTCTTGTCCACCTATCTTGCAGAAAGTAGGTGTCATGGCTTTCTGTTTTCCTCTCCCTCCCCATCAGGGCAGGACTGCCCTGCTAGCATTTAATCTTTTCAATAGAACAAGTATTTTGGGGTTATGGGAGGAATAACGAGAGGGTTCTTTAAACCAATGTTGCTAATATATATAGATATCTCTCCCATGGGCGCAGACCAAGTTTGAAGGGAACTCAAACAGTTTGTGGCTTTATAAACACTCCTCTGTGATTTTGATGCACTGGTACGACTGGTAGTCTTTAAAGCACATGGAGAGGGCACAAGCTGCTTTCTGCTGCTTGTAACCCATTTTGTTGTGCTTTAATGCTAACTGCACAGTATTCTTTGGCTCCATGGTGGAGAAGGAGGGTGGATTAAAGCTGCATCTGTGCTTGCAAAATTGGGACCTGCTATTCTCAGATCATGGAAGTTGTAATATTAACTGGGCATAGGGACAGTAAACACCTGAGCCCTGTGTATGGCTTAAATGCGTAAGCGGAATTAACTTTTTCCAGTGCTTATGTACCAATTCTGCTTGTTCAGCAAAGCACTTGAAGGCAGCAAGATTTACAGGAGAAAATAGCTGGATTGTGGCAGTATGACCTACATCCTTTCTTCATGAAGATGAAGTAAGGATGGTGCTTTACATAATCCCTTTCTGGTTTCAGCTGCCACTCCTTTTTGCTTTCTGCTTTATATTCTTTCCATCTCTTCTTCCATTTGCAAGTTTGAGCCTGTCAACCTTGATAGTTTCCCTTTCAAACCAGTAAATCATGAGCAGAATAGTGGAAATGCTTATAGCAAGTAAATTCCTGTGGCTTCTCTCTTTTCAATCGAATGTGTTAATGACTATTTTAGCTGAAAGTATACTACTATCACTATGTATTTGACCTCTTTCCTTCTGTAGTGCTTGGTGGAGCTCGACAAAAAAATTTCAGTGGATAGAAAGTTCACAGAAAAATGCGTTTTTTGGGACACTGAAACTATTTGCAGTTTTGAGTTGCTGAATTTAATGAATAGTTTCAGCTGAAATTTTTTTTGGAAATCTGTTCCATTTTTACACTTTCAAAGGAACAGTTTTGGAAGTTTGTTTTGAAATGAAATGTTGATTCTAAATAACATCTTGTTTCGTTTGACTTGAACCATCTTTGTTTTGGCTTTTTGTTTTTGTTTTAAAAAACAACAACAACAAAAAAACAAACCCTAAAAACACTTCCAGTTCAAAATTAACAGAATATTTTTCTGGATTTTTCATGTCAATCACCAAACTGGAAAAAAAGTTATTTACTCAGCTCTAGTGTTGAGTGAGGGAGCAGAACTTGTGTGCATGCTTGAATGGCTTTTTAATAGTACTAATGAGGTAAACTTCGACTCTACTGAATTGTTCAGAAAAGTGGATTATATACCCTCCTACAACTTTAATGTAAAGTGAAGACATAGCTCATAAAGAGAGCATTCTGAAATAAAATGTTAGTTTTAATGTTTGAAGGTAAAGAAATGTATCAGGCTTTCTTTAGACATTAAGCAAATCTTGCTTTTTTAACTGGTAGTTGCAAATGTGATGCAAAGACAAAAATATGTTTTGGTTTTGTGCAGTAAAACTTGTATCTTGAATGTATTTGTTTTCTTAAGTTATGTACTTAATGGGGATAATTTGAAGCAAAATATGTGAAGAAAGCTAAAAATTCTTAACATAATATTAAGAACACAAGCTCTAGCTATAAAACAGCTACTGCTCTGCAAGGTTTATCAAACTAATTCAAATCTGTTACAGATTTTTCCTAGGGTGAGATGTTTGTCTTTTTCTCCTGTCACCCCTTCGCTGGAAATCAGCCATTTTAACTTTGTTCTTAAATCCTTTTCATAAAGGGAAAGGGCGTAATGTGGGGGGAGTGAGTGGGAGCAACAGCCAAAAGAGAGCCTGCTAATCTGCAGGCTAAGATAACTGCACCTAGTCGGAGCACAGTAGGAGGTATTCGTTGCTGCTGGTCTGTTTTTGAAGGACTCTGTGGCAGTGGTGGTTGAGGAGCTGGGCAAGTGGCTTGGGGGTGTAGCAGCAAAACCAACCCAAAGGATCAGCTCTGTGTGTTCAAAGGGTTTCATCACTCTTGCCCTTCATGCATAAAAATTTAATAGTTTATGAATCTGTGTTCTTAATTTTTCCTACAGCTGCATAAACGCATGCTATTGTTGCTGTATTGTCCAGGGCACAAAGCTAGAATTAATGCGTATCCTCCATTATGATTTTTTAAAATGCTTATATTGTAATCTTTCTAGGTGAGGGGTTCTGTTCTGTTTTGTACAGTGCCTAGCACAATGGGATCCTGGTCCATGATTTGATTTCTTAGGCGCTATAGTAATACTTTTCGGATTTATTATTAATTATATACTGCAGAAGTAGTTGCCAGGAACAAAGCTGATCAAGTAAATCAGTTGTGTTATGATAGTGGATATGCTTTTGGGATTTCAATATAATTTATTAAGCTTTCATCTATACAATCAGTTGTAGCCATGCAGCTTGTTGGAGAGATTTATGCTTTAATAGTATAGCATGATCAGCAGTTGTCCAAAGCTGTCTTCTATAACTCGGACAATATCAATTCCCAGTATTGCATAGCTGGATCCTCATCACCAGTATGTCTCTGCTTATTATTTTAAACAGGTTAAAGGAAGTAGTGACAAATATTTCAATATCCATTTTTTTCTTGAACCATTATAGGCTTCATCACTATAGGCATCTATAGCCTGACGCTTGTCAGCCTGGCAACAACGTTGTTGTTTTATTTCAATATTGGATAATTTAAAGGGAAGCTGTCAGGTTAAAATCTGCATATTTAAAAGACTGAAGTCTCTACTTCCAATGGGTATAAAGAAAAGAATGCAACTTGGTAATAACTAAGGCCCTACTTGAATTGTGGGATGACTGTCAAGTAGTTGTGGCTGAGTTGAAGATGAGAAATGGAAAATCATGGAAAAAATAATAATGGACCTTTTATTAATTGCAGTAATTTGAAAAAGCCAGAGAAGACCTAATGTTTAAGAAAAATTTGCTGGAGCAATATAAACACTCAAGTATTAGAGGGGTAGCCGTGTTAGTCTGAATCTGTAAAAAGCAACAGAGTGTCCTGTGGCACCTTTAAGACTAACTGAAGTATTGGAGCATAAGCTTTCGTGGGTGAATGCCCACTTCATCAGACGCAGGGGGGAATGCCCACTTCATCAGACGCAG